AGCAAGACACATTTTTACCTCTTCGCTTTTCATTCTTGTAATGGATGGAATGGTAAACATCTCCTAACAATGTTGGCACTGGATTCCCTGAAGCAAGGATATAGAAAGCGTCTGTATCCATAAAGTCTGGCAAGTTGGGAAACAGAATGATACCATATATGCATAGAGCGAGAATGGCATTGAACGCAATCCAACAACCGTCTTTTGCACATTGTAAAGCCTTGTCAACCAGAACAGGTAGAGGAAATCCATACACTCCATTCAACTTGGTCAATTTTTCTGGGAATTCTGAAGCATCAAGATGAACGATTTCAGTGAGCTTAGCTAGGTCAGGCTCAACATCAACAGGGTAAAAAGGCATTTGATCCAATATTGTAACCCCTAGTAACGCAGCATACTCTTCCAATGTCGGCGCCAGAACATAGTCAGGAAAAATAAAACATCTTAACTGAGGGTCATAAAACTGGAACAAAGCATACAAGCCATTCAACTCGAACACCGAAGGCTTGCACACCAAACTGAGTAACTTCCCATAGGATTCCTTGAACTCCGTTTTCACCTTCTGATCTGCTAAGGCAACCAAACGCAACAAAGAACTGATGTCAGGAGAAGGGAGCTTGTAGGCAACTGTCTTTTTCAGAGACTCCATGTCAGAACAGAAACAAGATCACTAGAATCGAAGGGAAAATATGCGCCTGCAACACAGATACATGTTAATGACATGCAAATGAAAATGCAAAATGCACATGCGAACAGGGGATCAAAATTGTTGTGCTGTAGTTCGAGACAACCGGCGCTTCGCTTTAGTCATAACCATACACTGACATCCAAACTGTGAAGAACCGGGCAGTCTGAAGGCTAAATTTTCCTGCACCCCCATCCCTCTCACAGGTAAGGACCTATCTACTGACAAGGTTTGGCATCCTATACGTTCGTCAGCGTCACAGACTTTCTAGAAATGATGATACGCTCACCATTTCTGGTTTGGCATCATTATCTCTTGAAGAGGCCTCACTTAGCTGACTCACAAGTGATCGGTTCCTAGAGTCGACAATCCTCAGATCCAAAATCCCTTCGAGCCCAAAGGGCTAGAAACAAAATCATTAAAGAGAATCTCGTCTGAGCGCGAATTTCGTGGCTAGCTGGTGCATGCAAAGCATACAGGCTCACCACTAATCTCCACTTCTAACGCTAAGTCTATACTCAAGCCTGGGTCTGGCTTATCTCTCAACGGAACAATCCCCCCCCAGCACAACAATATGATATATGATGCGGAAAATAAAATGCGAAAAGCACCTAAGGAAAACATAAAGCACATATGTAGACACCCCAAAAATAAACAAACAAACGCTAGGATTGACTCGCATAGGGGATATTCCGGTCCCCAACAGAGTCGCCAGCTGTCGCTACTGCGAAAATCAAGGGCCGGCAATGACAGAAGAGTCGCCACCGTGCGTTATTTATCCCAAGAGAGGGAAAGGAAACGCTCAGAGAAAACCTGACGAAAAGAGGGATAAGATTGGTCATCGCAACCAAATCTCGGGTTCGGGAGTCGGTTACGCAAGGGGAAGGTATTAGCACCCCTCACGTCCATCGTACTCGATGGAATCCACGCTTGTTGTCTATCTAAAAGGGTGTGTTTAACTATCTACGCTAAAAGGTCTAGGGATAAAAGGAAAGAGAAGCGACTCGGCAGAACACATCAGTTCTATGCCTACGTATTCTCGTCTGAAATGAGAAATCAGAGTCAACGTAGTTCGCCTAACTACGGGTAAAAGGGGGGAAGGTTGCTCGCCAAGACATCGCGTCTTGTGCCTACGTACTTTCATCTGGTCATGAAAGATCAGAGCAAACGTAGTTCGGGCTAAAGGGGAACGCATATTTGTTCAACTTGTTTTTTTTAGGCCCGAGTAGGGTTAACAAGTAGTTCTAGCAGTTGGTGTATGCAGCTCGAGCATGGGAGACTTAGGCGTTACCGTTTGCAATAAAACTAAGAGTTAACAACACTCTTTTTCTGAAAAGGATTTTCCTGATTAAAGGCCCCAAAGGGCAAAAATGGTTTGAATGATTTGTTTTTTTTGTGTTTTTTAGAGGAGAGGTGTTTTTTATTTGGTTTGCAATTCATATCGCACTAGAGACTATGACTTAGGAGTGAATGCGCCGCATATCACCCAAAGGGTGTTATACTAAACAATCAAGCCATTGAAAGGAAACCTTCCAATGACCATTTCCCAAATAGCTTAAGGCTCGTAACATACGATATTCACTAACCTTTATTAAGATTTTATGATTGTTTTGAGGTGAGAAGAGAAAGACTCGATCTAAAGGGAAACTGGACCCTATAGTTATCATGTACAATGCTCCTAAGGTTGGGATAAAAAAGGGAGAATTAACCTAATGTTATCATGCAATGGATTGAACACCTAATGTCTCTCCTACTCCCATCTTAAACGGAGGGACTAGGAATCCTAGGGGGATCATGGCACAAAGCCAAGTAAACACTAAATAAACTCAATCACAGATGAAACGAGGAAGAAATGAAAGACATAAAATTAAATAGTGGGTTCAAAATAAAATCATGAAAGGAAATGGAAATCAAGATAAAATAACATAAAAAGGATGGGAAATGAGATAACACACTCAAAATAATAGAAAAAAATATTTTTGGGATTATTATTTTTTTTAGAATAAAAAACTAATTTTAAAATGAATAAAACAAAAACAAGTAAAGAATGAAATAGAACAAAAGAAGAGAAAACAAATGCTAAAATAAACAAAGGAAAAAAGCTCCCAACAAGAGTTGAACTCTTGACCTTGGGATGGAAAACCTAACATGTTACCACTAAGCCACTTCACACGCGCGTGACAAATGATGAGAAAGGAAGGAGAAAACATAGAAAGTGGAAAATAAAAGGATAAAAGCAAAAACTGGCCCCAGCCGGGCTCGAACAGGTGACATAGTAGTGAAAGGGCGTGTTACTTAACCACTGGGGTGGCGATACATCCGTGTATCAAACCACCCCCATAAAATATGAACCATCCACACGCGCGTTTCTGGCCTGGACTCCATGGGCAAGTTCAAGGCAGGACTCAAGATACGATTCGACTCCAATTCACTCAAAACTCAACCAATTCTGACAAAACAAAAGCCTAACTCACTCAAAATTTTAAGAGGAACACAAAGGTGCAATCCAATTTTCCAAATGATGTCTCCAATTTAAAATTCGATTGAACACGCGAGGTGAGATCTTGCTAGAAACCATACGTGGGACTCGTTTACCTTCCAACTCTTGCTGGCCAAAATGAGAAGATATCTGCTGGAAGTTGACCATACCTCCCTTAGCTCCAGATGTAGTCACATGAGAAATCCAATTCTTTCCTGAAGGTTTTAATATTCCTTGAGATAGTAACTCCTTCAATACTCCTGAGCTAGTTGTGGAGTTAAGATTACTTATCAACTTCCTATCTAAGTGTGTTAAGGCTGCTTCTCTATTACTGCGCATTTTTCTTAACATTCAACTGCATTGTGATTGGATGTCATCTGTGTTGCCGGTTCTCCTACAGACTAAGAAGCTAACACACCAGCTGGTTCACCCGGTCGAGCGAGACTTGAGACGTACTTGTGCTCCAACAACTGTAGGAAACCTTGTTTCAATGAACTGGAATTTCTCTGCTTTCTTTTTAAGAGCATCAAGCAACTTGCTAATATAAGGACTAGTTCTACCTAGCTGACGGCAGCAGCTGCTGTAAACCAATTCATTATTAATTGACAGTGCTCCTAATTTGGTGATAAAGCTAGTTTGATGCACATCCACACCATCTTCTCTATAGTGAAACTGAATAACTGACCCATCGGCATCACGGATAGTATGATCATAGCAAGCTTTTAGACACTCAAGGTTTTTCACAAAACATCTTTGCAGGTAACCACTCCTGGATGTGTTGACTGTAGTGTCAACTAAACCTCCTCTCCCAGCCATACAATGAAAGTAATACTCTTGTTATCCAAGTCCAATTCACCAAGTAATCACAGTAGCAGAAAAAAAACACTCTGCATGAAATCCAATAACAGTCCCAAAACAGTCCTAACATGAGAAACAAAACTAGCAGCCAAGTGAAACCCAACTGCTTTTCACAAGAAAACCAAAACTGTGACAGCCATGAAATAACCAGCTTGCTCTAGTTAACGGAAGCAAAAGTTAATGATGCAAATCCAATAGTCTCCAAAACAGCCGCCCGTGCACGCATACCGGCTAGTTAGATTCAAACATGACAGTTCCGAATTCCTCAAAGTGAAAGCCTTACCAAACATAGTACAACCTTCTCAAATGACAGTAGATCAAAATCTAAACATCTCAATGCCTCTTGAAAATTCAAACATAAAATAACAAATAACAGACAATGCCTACAAGTCAATTCAGCTTTCAAGCAACGGACAACAACGATGGACCTGCACTGAAAATGCTAGAAGCAGAACTTAAACTAAACAAATGAAACCTATAAAGTCCAAAACCACAATCCAAAAATGAAGCATTAGCACTAGGAGATGGTAAGGTTCTAATGTCATAATGCCAAGAAAACTTGCAAATCCCACAGACAAAAGCAATTTCTGATCACCTAAGCAAAGCAAAAAAAGGTTTGGGAAGGAATACAAACGGCGAGGATCTAAACAGTGTTACTAAACCAGGCCTGAGTTCTCATGACCAAAACGAAAGCTAGCACCCCAAGGTAGAACATCCCAGTAGTAATCCTACAGGTCCACTACAAACAGATAGTGACATGGCTTTTCATCCAACAACTGATAAGCTTCTTCCAACTTCTTATTCTTACAAAGCCGCTTTATAAGACAGTTGTATGTAAACACATTGGGAAAAAGGCTACATCTTCTCATTTTGTCAAGAACCCCAAAAGCTGAGTGCACATTATCTGCATCACAGTACGAACGAATGAATATTGAATAAGTAAACGCATCTGGCTCAACATTCTTCGACAACACATTGTTAAAAAAAATCCATAGCTTCATCCACACGGCCTCCTTTGCAAAGAGCATCTAACATATTATTATAAGCCAGCAAATCAACATCACATCCTTGCTCAAGCATTACTTCAAAAAGCTCGCGGGCCTTCCCCGAATCACCAACCTTACCCCATCCAGAAATCAGAATGCTGTAAGTTTTAGCAGTTAACGAGAAACAACTCTTATTCTGATCAAAAAAATTGTTGAGCCTGCTTGACATGTCTCTTCTTGCATAAAGTGAGCAAAAGCAAATCAAAATCAATAATACCAGGCTTGATTCCAAATTCGTCCATTCGAACAAAAGACCGAATAGCACCGTCAGGCAAATCAGCTCGGCTATACGCAGTGAAAATGATCCAGACAATTTGTTACTGATTTTACAACTAGAAGACTCAGATTCCCTCATTTTTAAAAGAAAATCCCAAAGTATAGCAAATTGTTTAGACCTTCCTAAGATTTCTACCAAAATAGGGAGGCTTTCGACACTGTGTTCAAAACCCGGAATTGACTTAGCCCAAAGAAAGAATCTGTGGGCTGAAAAGCCAAGGTGGTTGTACCTTTTCAAAACCTGTTCCACTAAATAAGTGGAAACTTGTGATGAAAATGGAGTGAGAGACAGTTGTAGATCATGGTGAGGGTGACGGTGATCACTGACAATACGAGATACCTCATTGACAAGTTCAGGTAGTATTGCTGGGGTAGAAACTCGTGGGGTTGATAAAGATTGAAGGAACTTGTTTTGAACAAGAGGGAAAATGTAAGAGGCTAAGATTTTATGCTTAGAGAAGAGTGATTGAAAAGCCATTTCGGAGATTACCGATTACAGCACTCGGAAGGATTCGTTCAGTACTTTGCTCAAACACCTTCAGTGCAATATCCATTTGACAAAATAAGAGCAAAGACAAAACCTTGGTATCTTATCCAATGAGGAATCCCCCTTTAGCTCCAAGATTAGCAGCCAATGCTTGACAGTCCTCTAGTGTAGAAACAAGATTACAGACTTTGGTTTAAAATAGGAACAAAAAAACTGACCTCCTCAAAGCCTAAGCATATCTAAATGAAATGTCCCAACATTGGACATAAGTTGGCAAATTACATTCTTAAAAAAAATCCTGAACAACACATGATCAAGGAAATGAAATCACCACATCAATTCTCGAAGTTAACCAAACCTTCTAACATAAGGAACTAACTGATACTAGTCAGATCTGAGTTAGCAAAACCAGTCCTCTACAGGTACAAACATCCAAAACTTAAATTCTTATGACAGTTGCAACCCAAATGTCCTCTTAAGCTTCCAACAGACTATGGATGGTAACATCAACATGAGCTCCACATAAACCAACATTAATAGCCATCCATAACAGAACAAACTTTCAAGGGGTCTAAACAGAAATGAGACAAATGGCAGTTCCAAAATCCCTCATTACATCCCCTTTCCCACCGCAAAACTCTAAACCAACCTAAACACTTGATCAACCAAAAGGTCAAGATACCGGCTTGAGTTAAACAAAACAACAGTGACATTACTAACTCAAACAGGCCAAGAAAATCTACTGAGCTCTCACCTCTTAGTTCTCTAATCCAGCCTACCTGGAACAAAACCTACTAGCAGTCTTGAGGCACACTACAATCCTATCTCAAGCCACCATCAAATCAGTTATCCACTTAAGCCTCCTAGCAAAAGTTACCAAAGTCCAATCTTAACACCAAAGTTGATAACAGACCAAAGTAAGCTTGAATAACATTTCCCTGTACACCACGAAATACTAGACAAATCCAAGTTTAAACTTCAAAAATGATTCATGTTAGACACAACAAGTCTCACCACTAAGACACATAAACTAAAACTTTCTCAAACTGCTCCAAACTTGCCAACATCAGCTCACCACCTGCTCCAAAGTTCTAATGAAACCTACCTAAAACTAGGTAAGAACCAAAACAGCAGTGACATACTCCCACCAAAAGAGTCAACAAACTCTTAACAGTTTACCCACAAAATGAGTAGCAGCTGTAACATAAACTAGACTAAACTCAAAACCAACTGCAACTGAGTTGGGAGACCTAGTTCCAAAGCACAGATATGGACAGCAAAAACATGAGTTCAAATATACTTGCATCAAAACCTCATTATACCATACACTTCAACAATCTAATAACAACATAACTATATCTGCCCAATGACAGCCACACACAAACATTTGGCAGCCTTGATAAAAAATATAAAAAAAACCACACCAGCTACCAAATTTGACGGCAAAATGTGACCTCCAACATGAAAAAGCTCAAAACAGTCCACAGGATGTTACACCCACATGATGGCAAGCATAGACACTAGAAACACAAAACATGGCTCAAACAAGAACAGGGGCAAAAAATGGCATGATAGTGTCAAGCCAGCAAGCACACTCAACATATATTTCTCATGGAAACAGTTTTGTCATCATAAAACAACATCCTCACTTCGTATAAAAGCTAACCAATCCCAAGAACACAAACACACTCAAACATGTTTAATGATATTGATGCATACAAAATAGAGAGTTTTAGTAATAACTTACCTCTTACAGCCTCCAAAGTAAACCAGCAGCAAAACTCACAGTCTTCAAGCTTCCAGCTTTTGCAAACCAACTACTAACTTCTTCTTTTGCAAAAAACTTCCCAACAGTGTTGGATAACAGGGTTATGGTGAAAAGTTTGAGGAAAGATTGAAGAGGCAAGTGATTTTTTCGTGGGAATTTCAAAGGAGTGCAAACATGTAAAAATCTGATTTCTCTCAAATGGTGGCTAGGGTTTTGCCCAACTGCTAGTTAGCTTAAATAGGATGTAGAAAAATGGAATTTGAGGACTCATAGAGGTTAAAGAATCAAGGGACCAGATGATATTTCTCATGGCTGTTGGAATCAAAGGGTGGAGGAGTGAACAGTACAAGAGGAGACAGAGGCTGAGCTGCAGCTAGGGTGGCTGGTTGCAGTAGCTTTGTCCCTTCCTCCTTTGGGAAAAATATTCAAAATATCTTCATGAATGGTACAAGCTTTGTGCCTCTTGTTTGGGTAAAGTTTGGTGGGAAAAAATCCCAATTCCAAGCGCATGGTTTTGGGGAGCAGGACTGATATTCTTCATGAACAAATGCAACATATGACAAAATGAATCAAAGTACAAGTTTTGAAAATGTGCTCAAACCCTCAACTTTGATCAATGATATCTTGGCACTCAAAAATCCAATTGCCCTAAACTTGAGTTCTTGGTAAAGAGGGTATGGAATAGAACAACTTTCATGTTGATGAAAGTTCCATTGGATCATTGGAATACCATGAAATTTGAGGTTGAAAACCATGCCACGAAATCTGTCCACAAATAACTTAGAAAAATTCTAAGTTATGAATTTCATCTTATTTTTTCTCAACTTTGAACCTCCATAACTTGAGCTTCTCAAAACCAATTGAGGACTTCTTGGACTCTCTGGAAAGCCTGGAATACAAGGAACAACTTTGATGTTGGCCAGAAGTTCATTTGAAACCTCTATCACGAAGCAAAATAGCTTTGAAGATGGATGTTCCAAGCATAAAACTTTCCATAAATGGAAAGTTCTAAAAAACCTAAATTTCCAAAAGTGGCAAATTTCAACAATTCTTGACTTTTCATGATTCCCTTGACTTTGCTTGATCAAATTGCAACCATTGATCGTATTAAACTTAAGAATTATGATCTTGACCTCAAAAAAATCATGAGTTGACTTTTCCAAATGCGCAGTTGACTTTTTTCTCAAAATCTCCCGATTTTCAGTCAACTGATCAATTGAAGCTCCTCTGATAAAAAATCATGATCGATCTCTCATCCTCAAACACCTTAGGACATGTGGAGGTCCATGGAAACAAGTTTTCTTCAAGAAATAAATTTTATCCTGATTATAATCGAAACCATACTTTCTCCTTTCTTGGCCTGGGGAATTGTACAAATGAACTGAGTAACCTTTCCTCTCCACCACATCTTTTGGGATACTCAACAAACTTCTATCTCATGCTCCCGCCAATGATAAAATATTATGGACCCCTTGACAGTCTTCTGATGGTTTATTTCGGTGCCTTTGCTTGAGCTCGAAGCCAATAAAGATTTTCCTCTTGAGTGGTGCACAGACAAACACTTGATCCCCTGTAAATGCAAAATACTATGCAATGCAATATGCTAGAATAATGAAATGAAACATAAACCAAGTAAAGAAGAGGTTGGTCAAATTTTAGGGTGCAACACACGGTCTTCCTCAGAGAACCCATAACAATACAATAGGAGGCAAGAAATCCTGGATCGGGGAAAACGGTACCTGCAACACAGACACACGTTAATGAAATGCAAATGAGTATGCAAAATAATGTAAAATGCAATCATGCAGCGGGAGATCAAGGCAACTGTGCTGTGGAGATTTTGTATCAACAAAACCACGATACTGCTCTATCAAGAACAACCACTATATCTGATAAGAAGAAAATCCTGGTATCGAACCACAATTCTGCTCTGTCAAGAAAAACCATCTGATAGGGCCATATACATAGGACCATAATTCTGCTCTGTCAAGAACAAACGTCTGATAATAAGGACCTCTGATATAGGACCAAGAAATCTGCTTTGTCAAGAACACACGTCTGATAATAAGGACCTCTGATACAGGACCAAAAACATGCTCTGTCAAGAACAAATATCTGATAATAAGGACCTCTGATACAGGACCAAAACTCTGCTCTATCAAGAACAAACATCTATCTGCAAATGAGACCCTCAGACCCCAATCAAAAACCTGCTCTGTCAAGAACAAACATCTGATGATAAGACCCTCTGATCAAAACCTGCTCTATCAAGAACAAATACACATCTGATGATAAGATCCTCTGATCCCAATCAAAAACCTGCTCTGTCAAGAACAATCATATGTCTGCAGATGAGATCCTCAGATCCCAATCAAAAACCTGCTCTGTCAAGAACAAATACACATCTGATGATAAGATCCTCTGATCCCAATCAAAAAACCTGCTCTGTCAAGAACAAACATCTATCTGCAGATGAGAACCTCAGATCCCAACAAAACTGATCCACTATCAAGAAAACCAGGTGGTCTGAAGGTCAAAGTTTCCTGCAATAAACCCAACCCTGCTCACAGGTATGGACCTAAACTGACTCAAGTTCGGCATCTTATGCGTTCATCAGCGTCACAGACATTCAAGAGGGGTGATACGATACCCAGAAGGTGTGGCATCACCAGCTCATGAAGCGGCCTCACTCGGCTGAATCACAAATGATCGGTCCCCAGAGTCGACAATCCTCCAAACCAACAAGCGTCTCAACCCAAAGGGTTGAAAGAGAAGCCAACCGGGAGAACCTCGTCTGAGCGTGGATTTCATGAGACACTAGTGCCTGCCAAGCAAGCACGCGCCCACTAATTTCCACAACTAATGCTATGTTCACTCAAGCCTGGGTCTGGTTTCTCACTCATCAGAATGCCCCTCCCACAACAGCACAGATAATCATATCATACTGAAAAATAAAGTGCGGGAAATGAAATGCGATAAATAAACACAACTCAACAAGTAATCATACAAGCGCTAGGATTGACTCTCGCAGGGGACGTCGGATCCCCAAACTGACTCGCATACGGGACGTTGGATCCCAGGAAACTATAGAATCCCCAGCAGAGTCGCCAGCTGTCGCTTCCGCAAAAATAAGGTGCCGGAAAAACAGAAGAGTCGCCATCTTTCGTTATTTATCCCTCAGAACGGGAAAGGAAACGATCGGAAAAACCTGACGAAAAAATGG